AACTGTCTTAGCCCTACCACCCTCCCACCCCCGCACAACCCCAACCTCTGGCCATTACCCCACAAATTCAATTTTCTCTTGAGATACGAGAGAGAACACCCAAAGGGAATGAGAGAGTGAGAGTACTTGCTGCTTCTGCTGCTGCTGCTTCTGCTTTTGGCAGCTAAAAATAATTAAAATTTAAAACGGAATAAAATGCACAAGAATAACATTTACATTTATGCGTTTCTATCTGCCATTCCATCCACGCCAACGCCAACACCCACTCCCACACCCTGTACCCCCTACCCACTGTACGGTTTCCGTCTCAGCTTTTCATTTTGGCCTAACGAAATACAATTGAAATTCAACAAGTTGAAGGAAAACGCACGGAGCAGGAAGGAAAAGGAAAAAGCAGCGGCAAAATGCTCTCAAGTGTGCCCGCCCAGTGTCCCAGGAGGAGTCTGCCAAAGAGGAAGAAGAGTCCTGCCTGGGCCTGAATAAACATAAACTTGTTTAAAATTAAACTAATGTTTATAGTTATTGCAAAACTATCTAGTGGATGTGGATGTGCAGCGTCGGAGAACAGGAAGGAGGTCCTGCCCAAGAGACTGGAACCAAAGGAGTGACTCAAAACGGAAATGTAACTTGAACATTGAATTGCAATGAAGAAAATTGCAGCTCCTTGTCCGGCGGGGGTGGTGGGGGGCAGCAGCAGGGGCAGTCGCATAACGATTGAAATGATGATGTCTTCTTCACTGACTTTGCCTCCCGTTCCACACACCCACCCGGGTGGGTGCCCCATTGAAACTCTGCTCCTATTTCTCCAAGGACATCGGCGCTGGCCTGCTTCAATGGATGATTATATAATCTCTTGTGTACTCAGGCATTTTTCAAAACGCATTTCCACTCAAGAGAAGAGAAGTCCACTTGGACCTGCTTGAACATCGCCCAAAGACAATTGGAATTGAATTTTATACGAAATATGAAACGATGGCAATATCAGGAATAATATGGATATACAATTATGTATGTATCTATAAGATAAATTGTTATGCCAGCCATGCTGATGTGGAAAGTGGTCAGGCATAAGGATTAAGTGATGCGCCAGTATCCATTTTCTCTCGGTTTATTCTTGGGTAGGAAAGATTGAGTGGCTGAAAAGGCTGAATGAAGTACGACACTTTGTAGTAGATAGTATTTCGAGGAGTACGTAAATTATACGTTTAAAATAAATATAAATCTATAAAATTCCTTGTAAATTTCCCTAATTTATCAAAGGTTTTTTTTCTTCTATTAAAAATACAATTTTTTTGCATACTTTTCGGCCTAATAAATGACACGATCGTGGTAAAATGATTCGTAGATATATTTGCAGCTATTTTAGATGTCAAAAGTGACTTTTTTTTGGACTTAAGAAAATCTAGAAAACATGATTACTCTCTCACTTTTCTTTCCCCGCCCTCTGGGCACTAATTCCAGACAAATCACCTCAGTTTTGGACGCCCCAAAATGAACCACTTTATCTTGGAAACTTTTTTCGGGTACACTTGACAAAGTTTGTCAAGTCAAGCACCAATCCAAGTCCAAAGACAAAGCACAAAACAACCCCCGACAAACCAACAAAAAACTAATTATAATTAAAACAAATTTCAGTTTTGTTTAGTGTTTTTTTTTTTGTTCCGCAACATCAAGTGGAACCATTTTTGGGGGAAAACAGAAAGCAAATGCCGCGGGTCTAACGACACTTAAATCAAAAGCGATAATCTATGAACCCTTGGGCCAGACGACGACGACGACGACGACAGCGAAGGAAGGAAAACCTTTCATACAAATACGAGAGAGAGAGAGAGAAAGATAGAGGGAGTGAGGAGGTGGAAAACACGAAATAAGTAGCCGCACTTTATATTTATGAGCAACATTCGCATGCAGCTTTAATGGCCATCGAACTGGAACTGGACATCAGCAGCGGCAGCAGCAGCAGCACAGACCACTGAGGCAGTGGCAGAGGACGGATACGATGGACGATGACGCCCACAAAAAATACATTTCCCTTTTGGATTATTTAACTGCCATTCGAGGACGTGGACGCGGACGCGGACGCGAACCGACAGCGTTGAATGAATGAATGAATGAATTTCGGGCTGGTTTGATAGTAGTGCAAAAGGGAGAAGGAGGCGGTTCGCGGGGCAGGGCACAGGCACAGCAGAAAATAGAAATAAAAGTAAGAGAGGTAAGCGAAAAGCCACAGAGCCGGAGCGTCAGCAAACGACGACCCGCAGGCAATGAAAATCACCCCCCCACCCGACCAAAAAAATAAATATAAAGAAAAGAAAATGCAAAGACGAAAATCGACAAGAGGTTTGCCACGCCGCCACCCCACCACCTGAGGGGGTGGGCTTGTTTGGGTTGGGGGGAATATTCTCTGACTGGTTATTTATTTGCTCGTTTATTTTCAGCACTTTTTCGGCGCATTTATTAGAAGTTGTTTTGCCGCCAGGCACACCACCACCCACCCACCCACACACAAACACACACACACACACACAAAGGGGTTGGATAAGCAGTTTTTCACCAAGTATTTTCCTTAGACAGACAGCTTGCCATCGAATTGAAAATCATTTGTAAATCAAATTGAAAATTCTACCAAAAGAGATAGCTCTGAAGAGTCCTCAGAAGGAGCTCTTTGGGGGGGGGCGGGGTTACTGCTGCTCCTGCTCTTGCTGGTGGTTGCTAAATTTGTCAAAACCAGCGAACATCATTCGTCATGATGATGCCCGTTGTCTGCCGATACCGCGAGGGGTGCAGGCAGGAGACAGGAGCAGATTATATTTGAACAGCACAGCACAGCAGTGAACTTTTGAGCCCTGGCCTTGGTCTCGGCTTTCGGCTCTGGCTTTGTGTCACAGAGCCCGCAGGGTGGGCAGGGTGGTGTAGGGGAATCCTGGGGAAATGAGTCAGAAGCAGATAATGCTGATTAAGTTGATGGAAACAGCATCGAGCGGCGGTCGTGCAGTCGAGCAGTCGAGCAGTCCAACAGTCGAGCAGTCGAGGGTCTTGTCTGACTTGTCGACTCTCGTATCCACGATATTCTTAATTGTTCGTTATTAATGATGCTACTCGTACATGGACTGGTGCTGGTGCTGGTGCTGCTGCTACTCCTGCTCCTGCTCCTGTCTGTGCCCCTGATTGTCCTGCTGTCTGTGACTTTCAAATTGAAAATGACCCTCCCTCCCTCACCCGACTGACTTTGATGAATGTCCGAGTGTGAAAAACCACAAACAGACTAATTGATTGCCAGCAAAAGATTTGGGAATTGGATACCCCCAGTATCCCCAGTACCCCCACACTTGATCCCGTTCCCACTTTTGCACTTGATTCAGCCTTGAGGCCTTGAGGCCTTGAGGCTTATTCCCCCCCCTTTCACGTTGTGTTGTTTTTGAGGAGGCGACTCTCGTCAGTCTGCTGTTTGTGAGGCGGATGACACAAATCAGAACGAGGCCCGGGCCCAAATTAATGCAACCAACAAAACTGTCAGGTTGATGAGCCATGAGAAGAGGCGGCCGGCCTACAGGCCAACGTAGAGGTGCTAGGAGTGAGCACAGAGAGAGAGAGAGAGAGAGAGCAGAGACGGAGTTGACAGGAAAGACAATCGCATAGGCATAGCCTGCATGAAAGGATAATCGCATGGAAATGCCCCCCCTCCCCACAGAAACAGAGTGGCATCCAAAACAGAGGTTTACAGACACCCCCGAAGGCTGGCTGCATGGCTGGAGCGAGGCATGAAAGCAAATTCCCCAAAAACACTCTCCAAACGGCCCAACAACGAGAGGGTCATAAATAAATTGCTGCTTGAGCAATTTTCAATAAATGACAGCCAGTCCTCGTTCTCGGTCTCGTCCTCCCACTCCCACTCCCACTCTCGATCGTTCTCTACTTCTCTTCCTGACTATTCCTACTGTCTCTTGTCAAACTGAGGAACTCCACTTGACAATCAATAAGTTCAAAAGGAAATGGAAAGGGAGAAAGCCGGCTAAGAGAACTACGGGGAGCACTTCGGCGAGCACAGATGTAATGGGTAAGAGAAATGGAAGAGAGAGGGGAAAGGGGAAGATACCAGTTAATAGAGGTAGTTCTTGGAAGTGTAAAAACACTTGAATTCCATTTTGCTTGCTGCTGATGGACGCACATAAATTTTCGATTATGCGGACCATTACACAGGAATTGAAGAAAATTCATCAGAAGTAGAAGGGGGGCGGTGTGTGCTCTAAAATGGAAGAGTGCTCATTTATTGGATGGAATCAGAGAGAATGCTTTGATATAGATAATGTAATATTCGGAAATTAATATGCATGAATTTCCGGAACGAGAATGGGAGATCAGATAAGAGACAAGAATGTGCCTCAGGATTGAGTTTTATTTTCCAGGTTATCTAAAAATCAATTGAAATTTGGTTATAGAATCAGAAGAAAGCCAAGAATGATTCATAAATCTACGCTTTACTACACTCTTGGGACTCTAAGTACTCTAACCAGCATTTATCAACATTGAAAAGATTAGTTGGAAGCACTGCTTGGAATATTTGGTCTGAAATTAGGTTTATTCTAGAATTTTAATCTATAATTCACTTCTAAATTTCTTTACTTTGAAGCTCTTTAGTACCTTAAACTGCATTTAACAACACTGCCATTTGTGAATGTTTCAGTCAGTCGCTGAAATATTTATACTGGAATTTAAATAGAGTCTAAAAATGTGCATAAAATGTATTATCAAGCGACTTCCCTTCTCATCAACTTCTGTTTATCTAAAATTTAAAATTGTATGTACTCCAAACGGCACTTAACAACACTGTTATCTGTAATGCACAGTTTTAAAACACAAGCTGGACTTAAATCTACTTTAATCGCTTTTCCATGTAATTTCGAATGAAAATTCCTCTACAGATTTCCATTCTAAACCGATTTCCGCAGAGATTAGTGTCCACCCCCCAACCCACACACCCCACAAAAATGAGTACTCACCGTGGTTGTGGCCGGTGTGGTGGCCGTGTGCGGCGTATAGGCGGCATAGGCCGGCTGGGGGAGCGGCGCCGTGTAGCGGTAGGCGGCCTGCTGGGCCACGGCAGCAGCGGCGGCGGCAGCGGCCGGGGCATAGCCCTGTGGGGTCCAGCTGGTGGCACCGCGATAAGGGGCGCCGGCGGCTAAAGCAGCGCCGGCAGCAGCAGCGGCTGGGCTCGTCATGGCCGGTGGACGCTGTGGCAAGGAGCCTTTGAGTGCAACGGCTGAAGCGGTTAGTGGTGCGCCGGGAAAAGCGCTGCGCTGCTGTGTTGACGATGCGGCAGCGGCGGCGGCAGCGGCAGCGGCACTGGACGAGCTCCCCTGCGGGAAGAGAGAGAGAGGAGAGAGAGAAGAGTGGTGGGGTGATGGTAAGTAAGGGGGGCTAGGGCGAGTGGTTCAACATAAATAATATAGTCTATGTTTTTCTGTTTTTTTTTTTCAGCTTTTTTCTATTTTTCTGTTTTTGTCGTAAATAGAAAACCGCAGCGTGCGGCAGCAGCTGTGGCTCAGCCGTAAAGCTTTGCTTACCGCTGGAAAAACCGCCATGGTATCCGTTCTAACACGCACACACCCACACACACACATCCATAAATTCATACGGGACATACATATCTGCATATGAATTACACTCACACGAACACACAGACACGAGCTGTACATTTGGAAAATTGTGGGCTTATGGAGATTTTGTTTTATTGAGTGCCAGGTGCGCGCATTCGTCACAAAAACGAAAACAAAAACTAACGGCACAAACGGAAGCAGAAGCCGTGGCAGTGGCAGAGTAGGGGCAATACATACATCTATGGGATGGGTGGTGATCGACGGGGGATATACTCTTTTTGGATGCGGTAGAACAGTTCTCAAAAAAGAGGCTTTATATGTATAACAGCTAGGAAGTTTTAAAGGTAGTCAACAGTATAACAGTTTAATAAAAAAAAAAAATAATAACCGTATAACAGCTGTTATACACAAATATATATTACGGTATAACAGTTTTTGAATACAATTGTATAACAGATTTGATCCGCAAAGAAAATATAGTTTGCTCTGTATCAGCATACAATTTTTAAGCGATATATGCACATAGTATAACAGTGTAACAATTAATCTTCAGTGTTAAATGTAAACCTATGAGGATGTTTAATTCCCAAAATCCCCTCACCATGATCGTACCGTACCCCTCTACCCATCGACAGGGTATGATATCCTTTTTATGGAAACATAGCCACCTGCTATAAATAATTGTTCGCCTACACATGAGAGTTTCCAAAAAGGGAAGGAAACAACCCAACGGCAACGGCAACGGCAACGGGCACATGTGGGCGGTGGACAGATGCAACAGTCGCTCGGCTCGTTTCTGCACCCAAACGCGGTGCTGTGCTGTGTCTGTGTCCTTGCTGCCTCGTCGCTTCCTGTGTGTGCTCCAGTTTTGCATTGCAAATGCAGTTTGCTGCCAATGCAGCTCCGATGGTGCCTTTGGGCCATTTCTCTTTTCTCTTGCCTATTTTTTGTTTTGTTTTTGTGGCAGGGATCTACCATTCTTTGGGGTCACTTGCCATAAACACAAATAAACCCCCTACCTCTCCCACTCTGTGTGTGTGTGTGTGTGTGTGTGTGTGTGTGTGTGTGTGTGTGTGTGTGTGTGTGTGTGTGTGGGGTGACACTCGCATTCCAAAGCCCCTCGCATATAAAAACGTTCCGAGTATTCCACTGAATTTTGCAAGGTGAAAAATGTAATGGTTTTGTTTTTTGTTATTTTGGAATACGTTGGGAATTCTCTCGTTTGCGTTTCGCGAATCTTTTCATACGAAAAGCAACACGAAAAACCGGAAACAACACAACGCCGCCATTTTATTTTCGTCCAAAATTGAAGTAGAGGCAGGTCCTTTCGTTCTGAAAGCGAAAGAGTGGAAGGGAGGGAGGGAGAGAGAGAGAGAGAGCCTTGCGTGCTGTCGTTGATTTTCCAATTGCAAAATATGGCAAATATTTGATTTTCGTTTGGTTTTCTCCTCTTGTTTTTTTCCCTGTATATTTTTTCGGGGTCTCGTCTCTCACATTTTCCAGTTAATTTTTGTGTGCACGCAATTCGAATGTGGTTTTGCGTTTTGCGAAGCGAGGGGGGACAGCAGGTGCACCACAGGAGTCAGGGATGTGGAAGAGGTCTGTAATTTGGCAGTTAAATGGCAGAGAACGAGTAATAATGGTCTCTGCCCCATACGACATACGTGAGAGTGGAGTGGGATTGGAGTGGTGTGCTGTGTGGCACATGAAAATTTAGAGAAGGACATGGAGTTAAAGTTACGAATTTTATGGGTAGCGAATTTGGCTGCTTAGATCTTAGAGCTGCTAGATCTTAGAGCTGCTAGATCAGAGCTTGCTATGAGCAAATATCCTTGCGAAACGCAGTCTCCACACAAACCTAGAGGTGGCGCCGCATGCCGCCACATCCTCATTAAATGTAAAACCTTCTGACAGCAAAAATGCCGCCACTTTTTGGGGATCTTCTTCTGCCTTAACAGCTGGAAAAATGTTGTACAAATTGCTGCCACACACACACACTGCCACATAGATTTTCCTTAAAAGTTAACTTCAAATCCATTACACATCACATTTGGCCATTTATTTGGAATGAAAGTCCCCTCCCATCCCCCGACATCCCATTCCATTCCTTTTCAGGATGTTTTTAGGGATGTTTTTGTAGGGTCATAAAAGGGAATAGCCAAACATTTTAAGCGCACAAATGCTATAAATTTAAGCCGCTAAATTAGACACGTTTGGCACATTGAAACCCCAAGGCCCGACACACACACACACACACACACACACACACATGGGGGTATGTGCCTGCCCGAAGCCTAGTCATGGATACACATCATACCCTCACTCAGTCCCTCTCCACGCCCCTAAAAATAATCATAAAGGTAATTATTTTATCGCTCGTTCAAATTCGCTTAATTTCAACCGTTGACTCGGCTGCAACGACGCCTCGTCGCCTGGCTGCAAAATTTCTATATAAAACGAGCCCAAAAATAAAAACGTGCAGCACTAATGGAAAATGGAGAAAAATATGAAGCACCATGCACTCCCCATCCACTCCTGGGCTTCCTGTTGCCTGTTTCTATCCTCTGCCAGCCAGCCTGCCTGCCTGCCTGCTGCCTGCCTTCTCCAATGACCAGCTGCGGCTCCTGTGTGCTGCAGGACGACGAGCACGAGCACGAGGACGAGTAAGAGTATGAGGACGTGATTAATTACCAAATTGGGAGCCATTATCGCGTGCACTTGCGAGGGTGTTTGTAAAGTTTTTGTGGCTCACGCACACGTCCCAAAAATATACAGAAAATAGGGGAGAAAGGTGGAGAAGTGGGGAGAGAGTGAGCCACAGAGACTACCACTATAGACTAGAGGATGCCCAGTAATCGGTAATTATCTAAAAATATATCGGTAGACAAAGGATTATATTTCAGAGAGAATATCGTTCAAATTGTTAGTAAAAACAGTTTATTCCATGGATCGCAATGAATATTTAATAATATTATCGATACAGCTGCTTAGTTCTCGGAATTCTTCTGCCCGTTATACCCCAAGTACCGCTGGTGTGTCAGAAAAGTGGTACGGGGGACAGATGGTAGCATGAGATTCCAGAGGCAGTCCCAAAAGCTGGCGCGGTGGGTCCCCCAGTCATGACTTTTCTCCCTATTAATTTTCGTCGCGTCTCGGAACATTTTCGTTGACGCTTTTGTTCCCGATTCTATTAGCACTCAGCCATACACTCACCCACCCAGCCACCCATAAACACAGCAGAGCGAGAATTTTCCCACATTTTTATGCAAAAAACGTTTCGTTTCCGATATCCTGCGATAGGCTATAACGCTGTCTGGGTCTGAGTCCTGTGCTTCCTGCTTAGTCTGGCAGCAAAATCAAGCGCAAAATATTAATGATAATAATTTATTGCCAAGTGACAGGTGGGAGAAGCGAGACAGGAGACAGGAGACAGGAAAGGAGGTGCTGCTGCTGCTGCCACTGTCATTTTGGCTGTGGAATTTCCTTCCTTTCCCAGGAGGCCTTCTTGTCGGTGGGGACGGGCGGGTAGGGCACGGGCCCCTGATAAACGTTTTGTGATTAGCGGTTGTTGTTGTTGTTCTCGTTCGATGGGTTTTCGGTGGCGGCGGGTCTTTGTCATATTTATTGTCGTTTTCTTTTTTGGAAAATTTATGCGCAAATTTCGATTTTGACTTGTCGTGCGAGAGGTGGAACGGAATGTGAAATACGTGAGCGGTTATAATAAGCGTGTGTAGGGGCAGGGGGCGTTGCAGGAACAGTCAGATCCATGGGGCAGGGAGGCCTTATTTTAGATACTTTAAAGATTGACAGAGCATGGAATTAAAAATATTTCAAAGTGAATTAGTAAAACGCGAAAATAATAAAAAATTGTTTAAGCAATCGAATAAATTCGATTATAATCGATACAGCGTAGCCAATCTGCCTTTGAAATAGTTGTTATTGACTTGTTAGATCCGCATTTCCAACAAAAGCATTTTCTTATCATAAAGGTAAAAAAACTCAACCGTTTCCTCGTTTTTCGCACATAAAAATGCACCTCAAACAAATTTTCAAATTACTTAATGCAGAAACTAGTTGCGAAACACAAAGGAAAATTCTACAATAATAAAACACACGCACACACACACACACAGATGCCTCAAGCAAATACAAGATGCAAAAACGAAAAGAAAGAAAATCTGGGACTCTGCCTCAACGATTCACTTGTCATGCAAAGCCGCACCTCAGAGCCTCTCGCCTGGGAAAATGGGGTGGAAAGGTGCAAGGAAAATGCATGTGAAAAAAACACAAAATATTTGCATATTCCTTAAGAAATGTTTGCACACACACTCAGACAGATAGACATACAGCAAACACGCACAGACACACACACAGCTACAGCAACAAATACAGACAGAGATGGGGAAGAGAGACAGGGGTGCGCGGAGGACCGCCTTCTCTTTGTATAATTCATATTTTCCAACCACTTATTGTTTAAACTAAATAAAGCAAAAACTTTTTCCATAATTAAAACCGACGGCATAGCAAGACCGTTGGGAAAAGGGACTCACAGGGGTAAAGGAGTGAAAGAGGCGGTCTCACTGGGGAAGGGAGTGGAGAAAGAAGGCGGTAGTCAGTGGGAAGGGGAGCAGGGACAAACGAAGGGGGTACTCTGGTGGGCGCAAGAGCGGAAAACAAAAGGATTTTACTTCAGTTTTCGCTTCCATTTTTTTTTTTGCTCTCCCGGACTTTTGCCTATTTTAATTCTATGCGGCGGTAAA